CCCCAAAACCCCAAAACCCCAAAACCCCTTTAAATATTAGGCACATTGATATTAACTCATTCTGATAATTTTCGAAAATGATGGAAAGTGAGTTTGAAGACAATATTTGGACTGAAAAGCACCGCCCTGCTACTTTTAAAGACCTGGCATACAACCAAAAGTATACAAAGGCTATTAAGAGACTTATTAATTCCCAAGATTTTCCACATTTGTTGCTCTACGGACCTCCTGGAGCAGGTAAGAGAACTTTTACACGATGAATTTTGAACGAAATTTTTGGTCCGGATACTTCAATTATGAAATCAGATATTAAGAGTTTTAGTACTCTATAGCAACTACCATATTGAGCTATCTCCTACAAACAATGATTCTCATGACAGGATCATGGTGAATAACATGATAAAGGAGACAGCAGAATCACAACCTCTGAAAAGAGAGAAAACCAAAGGCAAAGATTTTAAAATAGTGGTCATTCACGATTTAAATCTCCTCTCAAGATCTGCTCAGGCAGGCCTGAGGAGAACGATGGAGAAGTACATGAGCGAATGCAGGATCATTTTTCAATGTGAAAGTCTATCCAGAGTTATAGATCCTCTCAAATCGAGATGAGCCCTTGTCAGAGTCCCTGCTCCAACCTATGACACTGTTGCTGAAAGAATGAAAGATATAGCCAAAATGGAGAATTTGAGTATCAGCACTAAAACCATAGATATGATTGCCAGGAGGAGCAAGCGGAATATGAGGAAAGCAATAATGCTACTGCAAATCTACTCTGTAAATTTCACTTCAATATCAGACATAGGGAAGGCGCTTTCACTGGGTTATGAACAAATTATCTCAGAAATTTTAAAGGATCTAATCAGTGAGCAATCTGCTACGAGAGTTAAAGTTATTCGCAACAAATTCTACCAACTAATTTCAAAAGGGATCTCCACTGAGTGCATTTTTGTAAATCTGATAAGATTCTTAATGCAAAGCGATTCTCTTGACTCTAACGTAAGATATGAGATCACAAAATTAGCTTGAGAGTACGATTTCAGATCCAAATTAGGAGCACGATCAATATTCCACCTTGAAGGGTTCATCTGCCAAGCTATGGTAGTTATCAAAAAGAGCAAGATTCAGTCAGGATATGGAGTTTAGATCACATAATCTAATTCTTATATAAATTTGGCTTTTAGATATCTTAATTTCACTTATTTTTATGTTAATTTAATATAATAAATCCAAAGGGGTTTTGGGGTTTTGGGGTTTTGGGGTTTTGGGG